CCCCTGCGACATGCTCAGCAGGCCACGCCTGATCCACGACTCCCCCCCCCCAAAAACAAATTTTTGGCTTTGCTAACAACTCCTGGGCTGTGTCTCAGCCAGCACATGAACATTGCACAAGCTATTGCGCAAATCTCAGCAGTAAACAGTCTGCCATGGAAAAGAATGACAAGAGCAACTGCCAATACTTGCATGCAGGAGGCAACATGTGAAAGAAAAACAGGCTGGGCTGGACAGGGCCCTTGCACTGTGCTACATGAAAAGGAGCTGGGTTTGCATCCAAGACGACACGGGTAGCAGAAGTGGGAATGTTTCTTGCAGGAACATTACCTGGTGCAAACATGCTCCCCTTGATCCTGTCAGCACCCTTGCAGGCAGGGCAGGTTGGAGCTCTGTCCAGGCACCACGCTGTCTGGAGGTCCAAGGAATTAGATAAGGAATTACTGCTACTGCAATCGGAGTAAAAGTCTCTGAGCTCTCGGTGGAGTATTACATAGTGCCTGGGGAAACGGTGCTGCAACGCATCCTCTGCAGGCAGTGCACCCGCCAAGGGATGTCTGCAGGAGCAGGGAGATGGTTACTTACCTACGTTTTCCAGAGTGGCCATTCTCCAGAGCCTGTAAAATTCTCACCCTTCAGCCCGAGGGTTTTCATGCCACAGCAGTGCTTCTTATGCTTGGTGTCACAAGGAGGCAAACATCCCAGCTCATCCAGTGGCCAGCAGGCTGGTACTGTGCCACGCTTTCACAGAAAACCTGGTCTTAAGGCTCCTTGCTATTTGCAGAAAGAGACAGCAGCAATGTGGCTGCATCCTGGGGGACAGTCCCTTTTGGTCCTTGTCACGGACATCTTTTAGCCAATTATAGACAGGAAACAAAGCTGAAGGTGTTTTAAGCATTGCAAAATATCAGTTGAATCTCTCTGGAGTGGCTGGGTGAGACATGTGGATTTCAGGGAAGTGTGGGAACTCGAGAGAGATGGAAGAATACCCCAGACAGCACCCAGTGAAACGGATGGTTTGTGGCATGCTCCCCAAGCCTAGGAGCTGACAGTGTTTTCTATTTTTATTCAGTCACTAAGAAACAATAAAGAAGGGAACTATTTATGGGAAAGTAACTGAACTCCAGAGGAATCAGGAGGTAAGCAGTGCTGAGGGTGCTCTAATCCCCAGGGCTATACTTACAGCAGCAGGAGACGTTTTATCGAGCAGACTCCCCTCTGTTCCTCGCAGCCCCTTGCTCTCGCTCCCTTCTTGGAGTCAATTATAGCAAGGCAGCGTGGTGAGACAGGCTCCTGCCCTGCACCAGGCCTGGGGAGCATACCTTTGTGCTGTTCCTTGCCCGGCTCAACTCCTCCTCTGCATCCAGCAGAGCCTGGGGAAGGAGAACTTTAGCTTAGAAGATAAGCTGTGCAGTATTTGGTTTCAAGAGTCCACTAAATAACACAGTTAATCAATAAACTGTTTTTTCGCTCACACACCACAGTCAACAGAGCTTCAAGTTTTTAGCTAGGCTGACGATGCTCAATTTCTGCTTAAATATCTACCTAGTCTAGAGCTCCAAGTATTTTCTAAAAGTCACACAATCCAGCCAGTGGCACAAGAAGATGGGCAGATAGAGAAGCCCAAACAGCACTCAATCGTAAAAGCGGGTACAGACAATTAACAACAGGGCGAGGTTTTAAGGAACCTACACGAATAAATGCAGCTCAGTTCATTTATGGCATCACTTGTTTTGAAAGCTGTGGCTGATCTCACATTTGCAAGAACAAGATACTGTGTAGTACAGAGCCATGGTCTGTGGGCTGCATTGTAGACATAGCTGGGGCCATGGAAAATGTGAATGCGCCACAAAGAAACAATGAAAGTGATTGGCACAAAGGCTGCAACGAGACTCGACAGCACCACTGGCATTTAGTTTGCTTTCAGCCCAAGAGGAGGGGGGAGCCTGCCACATACAAAAGCCTATTGAAAAGGTGTTTGTCCAAAGCAGCAGTGCCAAGACTTAGTTAGACTGGGCTCCAGCTGACTTAAAGACCTCAGGAGAGGGGTCACCAAGCTATACTGCACCGGTCTACAGAAAGGAGGACCTATGTGGGCACCTATTAAAAAGCCAGAGCCGGGGCTCAGATCGGACAGGGAAGTGCGGGATAAGAGGTTTGCTTTAAGACTTAAAAGGCATCCTGGAGAGTCAAAAAATAGTGGCAAGCAGACATCTGAGCAGACAAAAAAGTTAAACGATCAAAATTAAAAAAAAAAAAACAAACACAAAAAATAAGAGAGGAAGCAGGAGTCAAAATGAGGCAGGTCACAAGTCAGGTGACAAGCCAGCCTGTCTGAATTTCAAAGCTTCAACAAGCTTTGAAAGCAGCAGTATCCAGCTTTACTTGCTTTAGACAAAAGAGCGAGCTTCCCTTTTCGGTGCAGCTGGGCTGCGCGCTGCACCGTGTTGTGACACCAGTAGATCACACCACCACTTACTGCCTCTGAACCCACAGGTGACAATGGGAATACTCTGACACTGCTATACAAGAAAGCAGCAAGAACTACGCAGAGCCTAGTGAGTCCCAGGAACAACCTGCACCTCCCGACTCAAAAATGCCTCTCAGAATAATTCGCAGTATCTTAGTTGCCAGTTAAATTTACTAGATTTCATTCTCTGTATCAGCGGAAGGGCTGAGAGTTCCACTTCTTGCTTATAGAAAGCAGCAAGTGACAGAATCAAAATGTGGTTTAGATTCCTCAGCTGACATTATACACTATGGAGAGAGTGGAACAAGTACAGAACATGGTGCTCTTGAGTAGATGCTAGAGAGCTGAAGTAGAAAAGCAGCACATCAAATATCTCTTTTCAAGTTCTATCTTTCAAAAGGCTGGAAAAAAAATATTTGGTAGAAACAAGCACCTGCTGTTCAGTGCAGAGAGCTGAAGACAGAGGACAGCTTCAGGATCTTTGTGGAATGAGTTTATGCAGAAAGACAGGCCATGAACATTGGTCTCCTCCTCCTGAAAACAGCAAACAAGAATAGCCCTTTTCTTCTCCTCCTGTTTGTGCAGCTGTAGTCTTGCTGGCAAGAGTGGAAGGGGAATGAGCTTAAATCCGGGGGGGGGACGGGGACACGACACCAAAACAAAACAACAAAAAACAGTGAGTTCCTGGGAAAAGCAGCCTATCTCCTAGACTTGTGCATTAAGGCTTTTGCTTTGTTCCTAGATGTGTGTTCAGACATACCATTAGCATTCCCTGCTCACTCCTTCCTCATCCTCTTTATGTACTAAGCATAGTGGTTTTTTAAATGATAAATTAGGAAAAAGTTGATAGTACAACTAAGAAATACAACAGCCACATACCAGCTATCACAGCACACCTCTGCTGGCGAGATGGTATTAGCTATGAGGCGGACAAAGCCTGTTTTTTGTAAAGTTTGGATAGCAATTGTAACTTACTGCCAGTTTTTGTCAATTAGCTCCGTATAGGCTGTTCTGGCAGCTCAGACAGTTCTTTGCTAGAGGCAACAAATAAGCACCTTGTTGAAAGAACGTACAGCTGTTACCCAGGAACCTACTTACCATATTTGTTTTCAAATCTAAGTTTAAAAAAAAAAAAAGCAGGGTAAATTGTTTTCCTAAAGCAAGTGAAAACAAATCTCATGGTCACTTTGTGCCAGAGCTATCCAGAGATAACCAACTTAAGCAAGTTGCCCCATCCTGCCCTGGTGGCATGTCCAGCTGCTGAGGTGAGCATCTCTTGACCCAAGCAGGGATCATTCAGCAGCTGGTTTAACCAGCCAAGTACAGACCCTTTCGTTGAAGTTAACACCACTGGCCTTTGGTTACAGAGATAGTGAAACTCGGTTTTACCATAGAAACACTTCTAGTGTCAGTATTTATTTTACCTTAATATACATTTATACAGGCCATAATAAAAAGGCTATTACGCAACAGTTCAGTGAGTTATTACCTAGTTTCAAGAATAATGCATGCAATTACAAAGGAGAGGTAGAAACACCGTATTAAAGACCTAAAAATACAAACATTATATAAACAAACACTTTCAAATTAACTGTTGGAATTTCATACAGATAAATAAGGTAAAAAGTACATTACTCTGTCAAAGTAAAGGAAACACATGGTTATCCGAACACTGAAACAGTATTTTGATGTGTAAGCCCTGTACAACTTTGTCAAATAGTTCAGACCACTGTGTTTAAGAGGATTAAAATGATTTTGTCCTGGAGAATGGTTTATTCAAGTATTCAACAGTTGAGTAACAAAAAGTCCCAAAAATAAAGTACAGGAACCATTTCCAGAGAAGCTGATCTGCCTAAATTCTTTGCAAATCGCTATCCTGATGATCTCATGGGATGCTTGAAATGATAATGCCTATAAGGCTAAATGAAGCTTCCCACCTCTCCCCCAAAATGCACACAAAATAATCCTGATTTTTCACACGCTGTATGTAGATATTCTACATCAATTTATCAGCATCTCAAATCCCAACATTATTTTCTGGTTTTGCATGGTTCCTTGCAGAACCTTTCAGTTTACAGTATTTATTGTAATACTGCCCAAGAAACAAACTACAGAGAACTGTCATTACACCCCTAGAGACTGCAGGCATTAATGCACATATCACATGCACAACAAGAGATGCAACCAAATCTATATAAAAAGCAATCAACCAGCAACTCAACATTGCTATTACTGAGAAAGTCCAGAGCAGTAGTTACTCAAGTATTAGACAAATAGGTATAAAATGGAAAGGTTCACATGAATACAAGTTTTTACAGTTTGTTTGAAAGTCTTCTAGAAGCTACATTTGAAATTCTGTGAAGAATTTTATGTACACTGAAATGAAATTCAGCCAAGTCCATTGTGCCTTCTTTCTCTAATATTTTTTTTATATAGTTCTTCAAAAATGAATATACAGTTGCTTTAGTAAATTAGTGCAAAAAAAAGTATTTTGGAAGAAGATCATCAAATTGTATCCACATCAGCTGAAAACCTACTGGGGAATTTGCACAGATGGAGCGCAATGTCTTCCATTACCATCCTTTCCCCCGTGTCAAAGAGCGCGTGCTCACCATCCCTTCGTGTGACAAGCTGAGCCACGTTTACAACACGTGAGCTCCGATACAAGCCAGCTTTGCCCCGAAAGCTTTGAACAGCACTTGCACATGGTTAGGGCTTCCCAAATTCACTCCACCACATTTTACTGACAACTTAAAAATATTTTTCACAAACTTTTGAGGGAGTCTTCTGAGGGAAATGTCTTTTTGTACCTGATGCAGAAGGATCCACTCTCCATAAACCTCATGAGGAAAAAAAAAACCCTAACCCTGATCATTCAAGTTCAAAGCACACAACAAGGATCAGTTTGAAATGTGAAGAGAGATTCTTTTAAATTCTGTTGCTAGGAAGAAAAAGGAGCTGCTGGATCAGTAAGGCAAGTGTACTTTTGGAATTTCTCCTCTTTGAATATGCTGCTGTTTCTTTGGTAGTCACCACAGAAATGTAAGAATCGTCTTCCATGTGGGGCAGAACAAGGACAACAAGCTGTAGTGAAAAAAGTGCAGTATCACTGATGTGGTCCCTTATGTTCACACCATCTGGTCCTCGGGATATTCCTACTGCTCATATACAGCCACTGTGCTATAGCAAAGTGCGGAAAGCCTTCGCTCAATGCTAGATTTATCTGTAAACGGAGACAGGTAAAAAAATAGGTGACGACTTCAGTGTTATTTTACAATGCATTAATTCCATGTAATTTTCAATATTTTCATTATTCAACAGAAACTTACACTTGTGTACATTTTCTATATCTGCAGGGTCTTGCAGTATTTTAGTCAGTCCTTCCAGCAGCAAGGCTGCTTTGTGGTATCGATATGTAATATCTTCAGTTTGCTGGAACATCTCATCCAGAGCTGCTGACTGAACCTGGAATCATTCAGGAGATTCAGTTACATAAACTGCATTAGGCAAGTAATTAAATGAAAAATCCAAAGTGAAGGATATAAAAGTGTCATTAAGAAACTCTTTTTGAGCCTTAAGTTTAGCTGATCTGTTTTTGTAAGACAAAAAACCAAGGTCTGAGAGAATATAGTGCCTGTGCTGTATTAATTAAGGATATTCTGCACATATAAAGCTATAAAAGCACTTTTTGATCTTTTCTGTTTACATGTGTTACAACAATATACAAATAAATATGCTTGTTCTTATACCTACATTCTCTTGTAAAGAAGACAATTAATTGTGCATGACTACACCATTATCAGGGTTGAACACAATATTTGCCAGTATCTGTTGTGTGACACCTATGTTAAGAAGACTTCCCTCTCATCAAAGCAGCAGTTAAGCTTCCTCTGTGGTTACTGCATCTGCTCCATGGCAGATAGAAAGCTTATCAATTACGTGAAAAACCTTCCACATGTTTGCTACTATTTTTGCTTTGTATGGACAGGCTGATGTTCTTCAAATCGAGCTGGTAGATTGATGAAACTACTTCTGTTGCTTCTATGCTTTAGTAAGCCTTACCGGATGAGACTTCAGCACACAGGGTTGTGTGGCTTAGGAGTTCATTTCCTAGTGTTTATGTACCAAATGTGCTGATGTAGGGGAAATGTCCCTGAGGAACAGTATCTGCCAGGAACTTTAGCCACAGTTAAGGCAGGGCAGGAAAGATACTGAAAGGCTAACAAAAATTACCATGAACAGAATTTTGGAAACATACATTCTATTTTCTGGTTATGTAGAAGAGAGATATAGGAGAGAAGGAAGCAATTCATCTCTGTGTCCTATCATTTAGGTAAAAGGAGTGACTTGCCATTTCTACAGCACAACTGTAGATGAGTTTCTCTGCGGTTACACTGTTGATTTCATCAATGAACCTTTGCTTGTCTGAAAAGAAACGATTCAACTTTTCTGTCAATTTCTTGCACATGCCGATACAGAATTTGTATCTCTCATTGAGGCTTTTCACAACTGGAAGAAAGGTAAGAAAAAATTAAAAAAGTCAACCAAACAAAAAAACCCCAAACCAAAACACACAAATAAAAAAACACCAAAAAAGCCACACAACTAAATAACAACATAGCCCAAGTTCAGCTTTTCCCAGCACTAGCAAAGCAAATCTGTTTAAACTTGTGCTTTTAATGTTTATTTACTCTGCCTCTTCTATGAATTAAGTATATATCAAATAATTTCCATTTCAAGTTAATAACTGCCCATTTCTTAACAGTTTCTAGCTGTATCTTTGTTTACTATCAGAATTGTGCAATTGTACATTTCTACAATTCTCTTGTACAGAAGAAAACAAACAAATGTTGCAACTGCAAAAATGTTAAGCTTTTTGAGTGATGTATCAGCAAAGAAAACTCACAAGCAAAGCAAATTAGATTATGTTGCATCTACCTTGCTTAACAGCAGTGGATGGGTTCAATTTCCCCGATTTGACCTGTGCTTTGGCAAGATGCAGAGAAGATGCTAGTAACTGGGCGGCTTTCATATACAACACCAGCTGCTCTACTTGTCTGGGAAGGGGGAGGAAAATAAAATCATTATGTATCAAAACACCTTTCTTCAACACATTCAAGCCATGGGCAGACACCACTTTTTAATCACAACCCTACATAAGGCCCAGCAGCAGCAGCAAAGGAAGACAGATGTTTAAAATGCAACTCCACCCCTCCCTTCCCTTCACAAACACTGTCACGGGTTGAGTACATCTGCTCATCTAGTAGCTGCAGCAGCAAATACAAACTGCTTTAATAAAGACATTTGAAAAAGGAACACTTATTTGTGGGGACTAACTGCCCAAGGTCTGTCTTACCACAAGCAACTGGGTGTACTTCTATGCCCCTGGAATTCTCAGTTGTTAAAAGCAAACACTTTGCAGGGTTTTTTTTTGTTGTTGTTGTTGCCTTTTGTTTGGTTGGTTTTGGGGTTTTTTTTCAGGAACAAGGCAGGAAGTGGAACTGCCCTTTCCCACCACTCCAAATTTCTCGTATTTCTCCTTGCTTTTGATTTTGTATTAAGGCTGACTGGTTCCACTGAAAAAAGGACAAATTTGGACACTCCTTCCCCTCTTCCCAACCTCCACCTCAGCGTTACTGCTTCAGTACGCTCAACAGGAACAGATGAGGGTTCAGATCTGACAGAAGCTGGTACACAAACTTCCAAGCTCGGAAATGCACTGCTGCACCCTCAACCCTGAACTCCTCACCACTTTCCTGAACTTTTGTGGCAGGCCAGAAAACACTGTCCTTTCAGTTGCCTGCTAGCAAATGCCTCTCTATCCTTTGCTCTTTCTGATCTGTCTTCAGTTGTGAAAAACTCATTCCTATGAAAGATTCTATACAGTAAAACAATCACTCCCAACAAAAAGGGCATAGTTTGGATACAGTTTTATGTATTCAATATTCACTAATTCTCTTGATACTATTTGACTGCATACTTACCCCCATTCTTTGCTTAGCTGGCTGATCTGATCAACAACTACGCTCTCTTGGATTTGGTACAGCGATACTGCAGAAGTACACAGGTCTGGGTTTCCTCCTCGTACTGCTGTCAGATCCAGAACACATTCTGTAAATGTCAGCATCATGTTTAGATGACGCAGTGTATCTGTATGTTCTCTCTGTCAGAGGGAAAGATGACAACAATTTAACCATTATAAGCCATAGGGCAAATAAGTACACTTAAAACTCATGCTAATCATTTGAGGATTTCTTGGTATGTCAATTCTATGCAGAAATCACATTGTAGTAGAGCCAGCACTAGGGACTACAGAACCAAATGGGTCCAAACAGATCAACAAATATTAACTTGTTCTCTCTTCATTAATGATTTCAAGATACTGTAGCTTACACTTAAAAGTCTTTCAACAAAGCCAAAGGAATTGGGACATGGAGTTCTATGTTTGTTGAAACCTGAGCAACTCAAGGAATCACAAGTGGGACATACTACTTGTTATTATACTATCAGCAACCCAAAAGTATGCTCGGCACTTGTACCAGAAGCCAGGAGGAACATTTGGCTTATTATATAACAGACTTGATACCTACAAGAGAAGCTTCATACTTATCTGCTTCACTCTAACTTACACTGAGATCTAGAACTATATTGTGTTAAATGGTGGCTGTTGCCAAAGTTTACAATTTAAACTAAACTGCAATTGGAGCTAACAACTCACTGCTTCTTGGTGACTAAAACAGATACTACGTGAATAGCCCCTGTTCAAAAAAAAAGTTAGTCTTCAAAACTAATCAAACATATTTTAGCAATATTTGTAATCTTTTCATTAGGATTGCAGCTCTAAATACATTTTAAACTCTATCTGTGGGAAGAATACAGTGTACTGTCAGACATTCATGTTATAACATATAGATTCAATAAGGATCCAAACACCTTCCAGCAAAATGTGAATGACAAAACAGAACAGCAATCTGTCTTGAGAAATTTACAGTCCAAGAATAGCATTCTGGTGAAAGACCACCCCAATTTGTGTTTTTAAAGTGTCACTCCTCCACACATTTTAAAAAATATAGAACACTCTTCCCACAAGTAGGATTTAACGTCATCCACTGACTGTGAAGAAGCAGTTAAAAACAATGCCCAGGGGGATATTGCTACTGTCAGCACCCACATCCAGAGACTTGGCATTAAAACAGAGGCCTCTTTGGAAGGCTCTGGTGAACAAAAGCAGTCATGTTCCTTTGGTTACCTATTCAAATACCTGAAATGCCAGGAATAACTACCAAAGAGAAACTGGCCACAACCAATACAGGAATATTTTCAAGATCTTAAAAAGGAATATGTGAGAGAGTGAAGAGGAAACTACGAAGTGCACTGAGCAGTCCCGTTTTTACCATGTTCCTGTTTTAGCAGCATTATACATTATAAAACATTAAATTATTTTTTCTATACCTCCATTAAAGTTTCCTCAGGCAATTCAGGAGCTTCAAAAGTGATAAAGCCCTCTAAGCTGGGAGGCGAAGTACCATAAGGCATGTACTTCAGACTTGGAGCTGCCTCGGCTCCCGGAGGAGAAGAACCCATATAAATACCAGGAGGAGAGCCCATATATACACGGCCACTAGTGGAGCAGAGAGACCCTCCAGAACTGTTTGATCCAACTACAAGAAAAATAACACACACATTCAGTCTAATAGGTTGTTCCATCTTGCAGTGCTGGGGCTGCGGATGACAGCAAATGACAAATCAGTAGTCATCACAGATTCACTCTTGGGAGGCTCTCCTTATTGTTCCTTGCATCACTCTGTAGAGATTGCAAAGGCTACACCTTAATGAACGGTGATTTTTAATAACAAAGATTCTGGGAAATGGTTGACAAGGATTCCAAGGCAGACAGTCCAACAGTACAGACCAAAGGACAAAAGCACACTGCTGCAGACTCCTGCTCATCCTGAGCAGATGAAGGCCTTTACCTTCACATCTTTGTTATTTGGCAACATAGCTGATGCATGCCGAAATGCAGTCAGCTCACACCCCTTGTCTGTTGTTTCTGGTACAATACACAGCAGCAGGAAAAAATGCAGAATCAGAAATCTAACTTTTCCTCTCCACCTTTGTCATAGAGATCTATTACACTCTCTGTGGTGGAGTAGAGCTGTGTACACAGGATGTTACACACCGCTGTACCATAAATCCATGCCTCTGGCCCTCTCTTTAGCAGGGAAAAGGCAGAAGTCATCCAATATTAATCTCTACTTCACAGAGCTCTCTTACTGATGGCCTAGAAGACCTACTGCGCAAGGCAGTAAGCAGGTTACTGTCCCAAGAAGTGGGCAAGCTTGAATATTGCATTTGAAAACAGTCCATGGTTGTCAGGAAAGTCTTACCTGAGGTGGTTCTTGTTCTAAGGACCATATGGGTGCAGGTAGGAGGGGTGGCACTGCTTGGAGGGGACCCAACAGTAAACATGACAGCCCGAGAACTTGCCCCGCTTCCCATGGAAGGAGGTGCCATTGCAATTCCATAGGCCCCTGCTGGAGCTGGAAGAGAAAATTTCAGCAAGTTAGTCCCTATAAGCATAGCAGTAAGTAATTATACGCATCAAATTGGAGCACTGCAACACAACATGCTTTGATGCAGATCCAAGACTTGGACTAGTTAGAAGCTCTGACACCAAATAAAACAAGCTGAGTGGGCAGCCTTGGTGAAATACAAGAAGAGTGAAGATGCAGCCTACACGTATCTTTTTACTTTCAATCTCTCCCCACTCTACTCTCACCTAGAAAAGAACAACAGAGGGTCTCCCCAAGAGCCTGAGTACAACACCAGTCCTGCAGCAAAAGATACAACAGAAAAATTCTAAAGGCAAACCATGACAGGTCTGGAGGCTAAAGACTAGCCCTGCCTGCAGAACTCCTATCTGCTCAAAAATGAGGTGAGAACTGGTGGCCACCATGGCAAGGGTCAAGCTGGGGAAGGGACGAGGAAAAAAAATGACCCAGAATTACATAAACTGGCTTTCATATGAAAACAAGGTGGAATTAGGAAATGAAACAGCCATGAATGTTGTATTAAAAATAAAACCAAACCAAAAAAACCAAAATCCCTCTAGCCAGTATAGGCAGTTAAAGTAGTTCTGTGTTTAGCACAGAAACAGATATTTTCCTGTCTCAGTTATTTTTAAAGCTATGCTAAAGAAATGGTACATATCCCCTTAAAGGTTAAAAAAAAGCTTTCTGTACTGAGGCTAAAAATTGTCAGAACCAATTACTGAAGTTGGAAGCAGAACTGTATCTAGTTGGCACTCCATAAAAAACCCTAGCACATAAAGACAGCTTAGATGTACGAATCTGTTCCTTACCTGTATCCATTGGTCGCTCTGTATTGAGGCTGTCTGTACTGCCTTGATACAACTGGCCACCAAGGGCAGTCTTTACCTGTTGATCCGATAGCTTCCCAGTACTAACAGACCTAGACAGAAAATTGTATGAATTCACAACAAAGTTCTCCACTAAGATTTTCTTATCTAACTTGCAACTAAGGCCGACACTCAGATTCTTGGTATTTATTCTAGACAATTCTTCAACAAAAAAATACAGAAAATCTTGAAATCTTGCTGTTCATCATGGACCTACTGAAATAGAGCTAGCCATAAAAATAAGAGACCTTTTTCTCTTAAAAACGTATATTGTGAATTTTGTCATATAGATTTTCAAGCAAAAACTAAACAGGCTTCACAGAGGCAATGAAATTCCAAAACAAAAGGGAACTAGACAGTAACACAAAGTGCTCCAGGAAGTCCATGCTATATTTATACACAGTACAAAATGTTTCTGTTGTATACACCAAACCTCAGCATCTCCTCACAGCTCACTTTTTGGATGCTCTTTCCACATTCTTCTGCCAAGTTACCTACTCAACTTCACAGGTTACAAATACTACAATGCCTACCTGCCGAATGTAGTTTTACTGTGCTGTTCTCCTGCCTGCTTTTCACCTCCTTGGGTGGAGTGGAAGTGCGTGAAATCCCGTGGGTCAGTGATGTCTTTAGGTTGCAACGGGGTATCTACCGAGCCCTGGCGATTAGCCAGGGCCAGCAAGTTTGAGGATGCTTGAGTTTTAGGTATTTTGAAAGGAGCTGTTGCCTTTAAGAATCAAGACCAAGAACATACAAGAAACAAGGTTAGAACGCTGAAATATTCTTGGGAATTGTTTCAGGCAGTGTTTTACCACTTCACATTTTACTGACAGCGGTAAACTTAACAAACCTTAGTAGGAGAGCCAATGATTGTTGGTAACGGAGTTTTGAACAGCCAGTCTGAACTCCTTGGAGATGATCCCATATGTTTGGTGGGTGATGTTCCCAGGCTACCTGGCCTACTTGGTTGTGGAGAATGACTATATCCATACCCAGCATAAGATGGGCATACTGGGTCTGAATGCTGCTTTCTGAGCTTCTGCTTGTTTTGGTAAATATCTGTGAGAGTAGGAGCACTCTGCAACCTCGCTCCCATCAAAAGTGACTGTGGAGACTGAGACGGCGGTATTGGAGAACCTGTGGGTATGAAACACAGTGAAGTAAAATTCTACTTGCAGTGCTTGGAAAATCTATCAAAGCAGCCCAAAATGCCAGAGATCAACATTAAACTGAAAGGAGATGGAACTGCAAATATCGTGAGGTATGTTAGATCACCAACTCACTACATGTCAAGAAGAATGGATTTAGCCTGTTGGCTATTTGGGCTAAGGGTACATTACACTGATGAGACGTTCAAGCTGCCAAATAGGCAAGATTTCAGGGTGACAGCTGTACTGGCAGCTGTAGTACCTCTGACAACCTGCATCACGACAAATAAAGTGGTTGGATTCAGCAGGACAATACTGAAATTTCAAGTCCAGCTGCCAAGGCTCTAGGCTGAATTGACGTTCAAGTACTGAAATTATATTCTTGCAAACAAGCGTGTGAATGAAACATCACATATTAATGACTTGTTTTGTACGTAATGACTTCATTTGCTGACACAAAAGGCAACTAATCTCATGGTTCCTTCAAGAAAACTAGGTACTACAAAGAATCAAATTATTCAGATGAAGCAGTTTGGGATTATTACTTTGGGCAATGATTTACTTTTTAGTCTGTCAGACTAAATCTTTTTCAAAAGCTTACTATGTACAAAGGAAGTCCACACTTAAGTATAGATGGAAAGTTTCTCCTGAAGCATATTGAGCTATAAGCAGTCATTTAAACAGGGGAATGTCATTTAAACAGCATTGGGGAAATATCTCTCATGAACATCTCACCTACTCAAAGGTGCCCTTTCCTCTTTCAAAATAAGGAACCTGAAATTTGATGAAATGGCATCTTCCTTGTGACGTTTTTATGTTTTATGATGAGGAACTGTGCAAAGTTACAAACAGTACTTAAGACTTCAGCTTTATGGCCACAGCTTCCCAGATAAAATGTCTGTCTTTGTAACCTCAAAGAACTGATACTGAAGTGACAATTTCAATCACATAAAAAAAAAAAAAGGCAAAACTGGAAATGAACTAACTAGGTAAGATTTTTAAGAGCTGGCCAAGACAATCTTCTGAGATAGGCTCCGCTTCATAAAGGTATGCTCAAAAAAAGGCACAAACTTCCTACAGTTTGCTCAGTAAAGTGCCCAGCTGTTAAGACACATCTTTCAACCTTCTTAAGCTTATGCTTTTGCTAGTTAGATTTTGGATATGAGCTACTTCATCTTGATTTCATTCCACTCCATTAAACAGTATGTTTTAGAACAGCCTTTCTGCCTGCAGCTCCAGCTGAGGGAATCAAGTCTATTTCTCATTAACGTCCCAGCCAAGAATTTGCTTGTTTGAAATCCCTCTGCTAGTCTCATTGCATTGAAAGTCCTCACCTGTCATTTCAGAAACCAGTGTTAAATCTCACTGGTTACTGTTCTAGTGTCACTGCCACCACAGGGAAGGCTTCCAAATTAGAAGTTTGTCCTCTGCTGCCACTGGCAGCAAGAGCAGCTCAATTAGTTCAGAAGCTACATTACGACAGACATTTTCAAGTCCTTAGAAAATCTCAGTACAGATGACCTCACTTCACCCAGAAGCAAAAGACAGCTTCCCATACCCATTTAAATGCTGAGAAACAGACTTGCTGCAATTTGTGGTATTTTACAAATGGAAATACCACTGCATTTGTTTGAAATTAAGAAATAAAGTCAAGCAGGAAAAGAATGCAGGAAACAGATGAAGAAATGAAACATTAAAAAATCTTACAGCCATAAAAACAGTACTGTGGTATAGTACAAGTCAGTTTGACACTGGCAAAAGAGACACTGCACCAACAGCCCTACAAAATTCTATCCAAATAAAGAAGCAACAAGTAAAGTATACACGCTGCTTTGTATTCTCTTCACACACACTTTTTTTTTTTTTAAGAGAAGAGACTATTTCGAATCTGAGGATGCACTCATGCCTTGTCTTTCGTTGAGACTGCCAATGGCATAGCAATTATGAAGGAAATTTTTGAGACATGTCATAGAACTTATTTCATATGAATGAAACCATTCCCAGATTTGAAATATGGCTACTCCAAGAAAGGATGACCCTATTATCTCCACATTATTTTGGAAAGTGTTTAAATAGGAGAAAAACCCACAATGCAGTTTCAACAGCACCTCTTAGAAAGTCAAAATAAAGAATATAACTAACTAATTTTAGATAAAGAAGAAATTGCACCCAAAACTTACATAGAGCAAAAGAACATGTTGCTGAATGGCATATTCTTATGCCAAATCCTTCTGGCATTACAGTGTGATTCCATCTTTAACACTCAGAACACCTTCAAGTTCCATTTCTCCCTAATCTTTTTTTTTTTTTCCTGCTCGCATGCCATAATAATTTATGACTTGTAAAGCTTACTGGATGCTTAGCAACACTAACATCAGATCCCAGTCAATTTCCTAAGGGAATGACGGGAACGTGCTGCACACTGTACACTGGCAGTTCTTCCTCCCTTTTCTGAGGACTGGCATGACAGAGCTGGTCTATCAAAACCAGATTCTGAGAAGCATGTTACTACCATTCATTATAATCCATCCACTTCCATTCCTGTTTAAAGACAGGCATTATCAGAGTGCGTTTTCATCATGAGAAAAAGAAACTTCAGTCACACTCTTACTGTATAGGGGATTAGTTATGGGGAAAGGTGTCTTGATACAACCACAACTGGGCTAAGTTTCTACAGAAACTCAGTGCACCACTTACTCAGTGTCTCCTATTAACTCATACTAATGTAGCGTTGGCTCTCCTCACCCTTCACAAAACGCTGTAGAAGCTCTATCAAAATAGCACTGGTTGCACTGCATTGTCCAAAGTCACTCACCTGAGAAGTTTCTACTCCTTGATTCATGTCCTTGAAGTTGTCCGCAACAACAGTGTCCAAGCTGCTCAGGTATGGTTCCAACTATGCAAACAAAAATCAAACTGTGAATTTATACTTTATACTTCACCTACAAATGAAGGTAAAGCAAAATAAAAAACTTAGCTAGTTTACTTCTGTGAGTCCTTTAACAGAAATTATTTCTGCAAATGTGACCTAGTTGGGCAGATTTTGGTTTAAGATCATTTCAAGCAAGAATTAACGTTCTGAATTACTGTTCTAGATAAACCTTTACTAATTGCTAAGAATTTATGGGCTTACCTAGTGGTGAAGGAGAATACGGTCTAGAAGATCCTGTGGATAACCTGCGCCCAATACCCTGTGCAGTGTCAGCTGGTACTGGAGAACAGGAGCCCATCTTCATGAAGCCCATTGGGCTAGTATTTGAGCGTCTCACAACTCCAGCTCTAACAAGGTGAAAAGAATGGTTACACACACTATAGTAACTGTGGTTCCTTGAGATAAGCTTCAGAATCTCGTAAGGAGTATAACAATCAGTTTAAAGAAAATACTGATATTTAAAAAGCAAGCTAGGACATTGAAGCTTATTAAGTGAATAACTTAAGCTAAGCTTCCCATACTGAAAACAAGCAAGATTTAATTCCATTTGTTCACATTGAGTTTTTAACTTTCAGTGCCAGACTTTTAGTCTGTTAACTGGAGAAAATTAAAACAGATATCCCTTAGTACATGGATTCCTTATCTTCAAGCAAATTGATCATGACATTTTGAATTTTACAATCAAGTGAAATGTACTGCTGCAAATGCCAGTTTTTATGTCAACAAAGATTATGACAAAGTTTTCATATTGAGTCTGGTATACAGGTCAGATAACTGAAAACAGATCATTTAAGGGAAAGGCACTTCCCCAGGGCAACTATTATAAAATCAGAGACCCTGGGGGAAAAAAAAAGCAAGGAACCATGGGTTTTGTTTTTGTAAAGATCTCCAGAGTTCCGAGTACTCTGTTTTTGAGTCTTTGACCTTCACCATCCTGAGCCTGCAGACCACAAGGCACAGAATAAGTCTGGCACACTAGAGCTTTGTAATAAGACAAGCTGGTTAACTAGTATGCCAAAAACTGTTTCCTTGATATTCTACAGAACATTCATCTCATCACTACATGTGTCAAAACAAAACATAACTTATTACTGACTTTCTAGTTTATGATGTAATGCCATATAATACACAAAGAAGAATAAAAAAGCAAGACTTCATCTTTTTACCTTCTTGGGTTGCATTTGAGTCAAAGAACAAGCTCATTTTGTTTTCATGAAAAATTTCAAGTGCCCATCCAACAATCTTGAGATTGTGAAGGACTATTATTTGTTATTATTAAAATGTCTTTTCAGTATGTTTTTGTGCAGAAAAAAAAAATGACATCAGCAAGAAAGCATGGACATCTGTCGGGGTACAAACACAAACTAGAACCAAGAAAAAGGAGTTAAAAAATAACCAAAGTCACCTTGGTGATCCGTGGGGGTTTGACACGGGGCTGGCAGTAGAGGAGAGGTTCTGTTCTATGCGCTGGTAATTCCGTAGCTGAGTGGGAACCGGGATAGGTGCCGTTTCGCTGCGGGGGGATACTGAAGGCTGACAATGCCTGAAGTTGGAAGGTATGGAGACAGGAGATGAATATAGGTAGACAGGTCTCTCCCTGAATTGTACCATTGTTGAAATTTCAAGAAAATCTAGGAAACAGGGAAATAAGCTGCTCCTGCACTCCTTGCATGCAATATGATCTTGGCTTGTCCTGAGCTAGCTCTAACACTTCACAAAGGAAGATAAGGAACTGTTCGTTACTAACTACCTTTCTTATACTGGCTAGTATCAGATCGAGCTGAGAGTGCAATACTAGCTGAAGCACTTCGTCACGCATCACAGCGATCTACAGATCCCTCTGACTTCCTGCCAATCAGCCCGCTCTGTTTACCACGCTTCAAAATAGCGTTCTAGGAAAACCCACTGCGCTAAGAACAGGAAGTTCAGCAGCAGGGCTGGAATGTGCACAAAAGCCACTAAAGCACAGTCAGAGATATCCCAAGAGACACTGTGAACTTGCAAAAGGAAAACATGTTATGTAACCAACCCCTGACAAAATGACCAAAACCACACACCTGAACATTAATCCACAGACTCAAACTGCAGATTAGCATTACCTAAGTTCAACTGAAGTGTCAGTGACCTGGCTTACCTCAGTGTACTATCTGATAAGGGAATCAAACCACTGCAACGTAATCAGTTTTAAAGGAAGACAGAATTCAACGGAAAGAACTTCAAACTAATGGGCTTTTTGGAAAATAATCAGTTTAGTGTCTGATCCTTTATTGACCAACTCTTCAGAGAAAGATTAGAAATCCTTAGAGGAAGTGTGAAAAAAGTTCTACCACGAGCTCTAGAAAACAAACAGTTACAGCACTCACTGCATGGCTACAGCTGAACAGAAATCTGTGTTTCTGACTATATTTGTCCTATTCTTTTTGCTACCTCTGGGAATGAAATACTACTTCCTAATATGCATAGAACTTCCTTAGCAGAAGAAAAAGTTTGCCCTTTTATTACCACCCAGTTCTAGATACAAGTAATTTGGAAGTCAGCTGTGAGCACACAGTCAGCAGAAGGCCTGAAAGCTTCCAAGGAAGGAGAAGGTCTCACAAGCAGAAACCACACAAAGGCAGTGGGCAGCCTGCTAAGCTAACACAACACGCTGAGGTAGCACAGGCAGGCTCCCTAGGCCAGACCTCCTGTCACAGGGAAGCAGATGTTATTTAAACTGTGGGAGTGACACTGAGGAGGCCATGAAGGCACTTCAACTTAAAGTACTCAGCATTGACAATGCCTTCCTCTGCTCTCACAACAGCCTTGCAGGTAGACACAAGCAAGCTCTGTGAGCTATCTGGAGGCAGCAATGCTGTGGAGAGGCATGGTGGAGAGGCATGGTGCAGTACTCAGCCTAGGGCTCCCCAGCTCAGACCTAAGCTAAGCTCTGGTTAGGCATCCTGGAGTCTGATGTGGTTTGTTACCGGTTGGAGAAAATGCAATACAGATGTGTGCAGAGCTGCATGCAAATCTTTCTGTGAGATCCAGAGAGTAAAATTAGCAATTAACCACAGGAGAGTGAACCACCTCTACCTATTCTGCCCGTTCTGCCCAGAGGCTGAGAAGTGTTATAGCTTCTTCTACTCGACATAAAGCAGTAGAACTATGGGTACAATTCATTCAGTTTGATCAGCTAATCAGAAAAATTCCCTGTTTCATAGGGCATAACCTTTTGTAAAAAATTTTTTAAAATCACATACTATGAAAGAACATTTCTCAGGATATTAAAAAAGCAAAACCCAAAAGCAGCACCTTGCAGAATATCAGACACACACTCTGCTTCATTCAGACCATGCCCCAAGCAGCCAGTTAGTTACCAAATTTAATCAGCCAATAATTAAACTATTAGAGTATAAATACTGAAAGTGTGAACAGTAGGCACCTGTTTCTAATCACACGACCATTTAGCTCTTAACTTAGTAATGTACAGATAACTGGCATATTTTATAAAACATGTAACTAAAAACTGTGACACCCGACACAATTTAAAATAGGAAATTACAATGTATTTGTAATATATTGTACATGGCCAATCCAGAGCAAATGGATCTTTACAGACAAACCATCCCCATTATCTGCCCTTAAACATAAAAGGTAAGACTAAGGCTGTATTGATAGCCAATGTCAGCAGATTTCACAAACTGCACAAAGATCAGCACAAAGTAGCAAACTTTTCTTGTGACAAGCATTTTTAAATAATGCTGACTCGCAGCCCTGTAGTATTAGCATAGGCCAAAAATACACCCAACATAATAGCTTTATTCCCCATTTAGCCACTCATCCTCTTTCTGTTTGTACTGAAAACATTATGAAATTCATTACTTGGTCAAATGACAAATCTAATCCTTCTGTTACGATATTACATGAATAGTTATACAGCATGATTAAGCTTTACCTTTTCCAATATGATACAGGAAAGATTTCAGGCACCACTGATGAATATTAGTTCTGTTTCACACTAGCAGAAACTTAGTCTACAACCATGTGGAAGAAAGAGGGCTTACTAACAGTTCTGCTGATGGAAAAGCTGCAATACATGTTTAGTTATTTCATGTGACCTCTCTGCTATTTCAGGAGACACAAACATGAAATTCACAGTAATCTCTTGCACAGAAGCCACACCCAGTTAACCAGGCACAAGACAATCCATCCACGAGACACAAATCCATAGCAATCTGGACTTTCTAAGTTCCTCTTCTCTCACAACTACTTCTTAAAATGTATACTGCATCCAACATCTTGACTCACTAAATGAAGACTGCGCTGTGCTTCGTAACACCAAAAAGTCAGTTGTATCTATGAGGTTTCTGCTTTCAACCAGTTCAAAATTTAAGCAGACAAAAGAATGCTCTTTCCTTCAGGAAATCTTTTGGGGATGCACAAGAACCCCAAGTTAGCTACACAACTGTCAGCTATTAGAATGCGTTAAGTGTAGAGAGGCTGGAAAAAACAGCTATAGCTTCTATTTCAATTCAGTTTCCAGTAGCCATCCACAACTAAAAAAAACCCATATAGTAGCAGAAAACCTTTTAAAAGGAGAGGAAATACTAAGCCTACATAACACGCACCTGTTAGCTGTACCAGAAGCAGTACTTCGAGAAGAGGCTGAGGATGGTTTCTGTACAGTTCCTGAGCTTCCAGAAATAGTTAAAGGCGACTGCCTGTGAAAACAAAAACCAATGTCAAAAGACAGTTCTTCACATAAGAAAAACTATCTACTTTGCAGCAGAACCTTCTGAATTCAAGCTGTTTACATGTTCATATTAAATTGAATTTGGCATATTAATCTTTAAGTCCACACACAGCTATGTAAACCCATTACTGCCAAAAACACAGCAACCCCTTCTACAGCTGCAGTATCAATTTTAGAACATGAGACTTCTTTTGGATAAAGCTCAGCACACCTACCCTCCACACATCAAGAACTCGCTTGAAGCCCGCCTGCCAGCTGCTCCCAATGGCGTATCATCTACAGTAAGCAGAAGAACACATTGAAAACCTACATCATGAAGCAGAATCTCAAACCAAAAAAACCACTCCAATATTACTGTTGTAGAAATAACCACTTCTGACAAAATTCTGTGAACATATAAAAGTTTTCCACAAACTGTTTTGTGCAGGAAAATACCTCAGATGTGACCAACAACAAAAATGTAACTGGGCAAGGCAGTTCTTTAACAAGTTTTTTTGTTGTTTGCTTTTGTTGGGTTTTTTTTGCTATACTAATTATAATAGTTTTGAAATAAAATCCATTGTTTTAGAGTACAAGATATCAGCATTGGTAAATTTATAATAATGAATAACAGAAACCCTTCAGCAATCAAAGCACCGATTTAATCAAATATTTGACGTGAGTTGGTGGCATTGTATAGAAATTAGCTGACTAACTTCCTAGTGGCAATTCAGGTTCGGAAGATGTTATAAAATGGCAATGTGCTACATCCAAGTCTTTCTACTGTATAAGCCCAGTCTAATCCCATACCTTTCATGTTAAACATTTATGTTTTTACCCACACTTGTTTATTATCTAAAGCTCTACAGCATGGTCTATAAACATTCAGTTAGTCTGGAGGTAACAATGTGCCTGCCTCCACTAAAAGAACCTTTGGGCTCCTTATCAGCAGTTGTTTACAACTGACTTTTCTTCTACTGCCAAACCCCAATATTTTCCATGACTTTAAATCACCTTGGTATCTTTGGCATATCTGGCTACTCAATTGAGTGAAAAAGTCACAGATGGATATGCAGGTATGCTAAACAGTCTCCCTTCAAAGAACAATCAAACTAAAGAAATGAGTTCTGAAGTGAATTGAGACAAAGAACCAAACAATAACAGGACATAAAGGTATGTTACAAGTGGAAATGGTTTTCAAATGTAGAAATAAGGAAGGTTCTTACATGAGTGGTCCGAAGAGATATTGTGTGGGACAAGAACAAAGTCGTCTGTGTCACAAGAGGAGTTCTTGCTACTGGTACTGGCAGAGTCTTTAGAGACTTGAAGATAGTTAGGAGGACCCAGTGGAGGGGAAGACAAATTTTCTTCTTGAATATGCTGCATGTCTGGCAGAGACTGGAGCAGGGGGTGGAAAAAAGGAAGTAAAAAACCCACTGTAAAACCAATGATTCAGAATGTAGATTTGCTCTTTTAATATGAAGCTTCTAAAGTAAGAATCATCACTAGCTTTTTTGACCAAAAAAAAAAAAAAAGAGATAAATCTTGGGCCATTTTTTGCTTCTTAAGTATTTAGAAATATAAAATGTATGTGAATTTGGAAATTTCAAAGACTAGATAACCCTGTAGTGTCAATTTAGACAGTCCTATATTAAATAGGCTGGGAATTTAAACAATTGCAATTTATTCAATCATTCCTGGTGATACAGATGCTTCCAAATACTACATGAAATTCAAGTCACCAGTTCATATCAGTATAAGGGGCCTTATCCAAAAACGTCAATTCAAAAGTTATCTGTAACATTCATTATCTTGCAAACCATATTAGGGTATCTAAAGACTTGCTACTCTAGCATTTGATGTGTATATGTATTTTTTCTTTAACAAAATGTGTATATATGTATATATTTTCTTTAACAAAGACCCCCAACAAAAAAAAACACCCACCAAGTACAACACAAGGAAGAAGAGATAACCTGAATGTTAATGCCATTCTAGCAAAGACAAGGATATTCCTTACTCTGTGCTCTTAAACACAACAGTTTACACTGTTCAAAAATTGAAAGATCTAAAATTCAGTAACTCTGAACGTTGGCTAAACATTACAGAAACTGTTTTCTAGAGATTGTGCTGCGAAACAGAGAACTTACTGGAGGAGAAGCAAAACGGCATGAAGGAGAGCTACCACAGGAACTGCCAGAGACTGAGCCTGCATACGTGGGCACTGGTACAGGACAAGCTAGAAGAGGAAAACCCAGGGTGAAAAAAAAAGGACTAAGATTTTGAAAGGCTGAATTTCAAACTGATTTCCTCACTGCTTTTCATTCATAAACCATTACACAACTTATAAGCACAGCACATCCTTAGACACACAAGGGTATTTAAGTTCAGTTGAAATGTCAAAGGAACTAGTAAATAAGTATCACATTTCAGTCTAGCATAATACAAAAAAGGATTCAACACTTAGCCTCACAATAAAGCACAACAAGTCAGACTCAGGAAAATGCCTCATGGACACTTAGTGTGATATTTGGCAGATCTTTCTCCGTTTCAGCCCCCAACATTCATCATTTACATAAATAAGTGGAAAACCAAAACTACTTACACTTTTTGACTGTTGAAATCTGATCCAGGAAAGGGTGGTTGAAAAATGCTTCTACAGAACAAGAAACAACAATCATGGTAAGTGTACAAATGACGTAGAATTTACAGACTACATTGCAGATGGTGATAAATGGTTGCCTTCCCAGAATCAATATCTCAGAGCCAGAGAGTGAAAAGCTTATAAAAGATTAAAGCCTTCTATGTTATATGTTACTATAGCATTTGGAAAGGAAACAAAAATCAATTAAATAACTTCAAACAACAGCCAGCAAGGCAAATCAGACTAAATTACTGGAGGATATTTTATGACTGCACCTAAGGACCATGTACACAAGAAGCCTTTCTATACTCCTCATGAAATTATGTTCTCTATGTTCAATATGGTATTAATTCAGTTTTAATTTGCTCTTCAAAATGATGAGCATCTCTTATATCAAACACTGAAAGTATTTTCACTTCTGTCTTTCCCAAGGACTCACACTTATTTTTGAACCCATTAATGCCACTCTTTAGGCGGCCAAAAATCATACCACAGAGCAGCAGCCATTCTCCTTCCCATTTCCCAAAAGCAGAACACAACCTGTGCAGCCGCTTCACAGTTTAAAGTGGAATTAAACACAATTTAACAATTTCCTCCAATTACTTGTTATTGTTACAATACAAATACCGTTATGATTTTGCTTTTGTTGTAAATGGATATGCTGAGATGCCTTTAATTGACTTAGCATAACCAGTTGGCTAGCAGTTTACATGGAAACTTTTATTCTACAAGAAACGACCTTCAGCCAGTTAAGGGAAGTTGAGGGTTGGTGGAAGCTAGCTGCTGAGCTTTGGGAGCTTTAATGTTCTAACAGTTCAGGAAAAACAATGCTGTTCATCAGACCTAAGCAAATAACAAGGAAAAAAAATAAAAGAAAGAATCTAAGGCCTGCAGTATCTCCTCTTCCTTCAACACTTTCACAACCTGATAAGGAAGGGAAGGCTAGCTGTAACGTAAGAACAATGTAATGATTAACTTTAACATGAGGATCAGGTGTTCTTGAGCTTTTGTACAACACCTGCTGTTCTACTTTATATTGCTGGAAGATCAACAAGATTTCCAATGTTATTTTTACCTTAACAACAGGCAACCAAGCTCAGTTATACACTCTCCCTTTCACTCCCTTTGCTAAGCGCATTCCAGAGCAGTCCCTGGGAGGCCCTTTAAGTGGCTCAGCCAAGGAAAACATGACTTCCATCACTACCAATTCTGCTTTCTATTTTCCTTTCTAAGCACAAATGCACTCTCCCACTACCACAAAGATACAGTGAGTTTCCCATGTTTAAAGAAACCATAGGGATCAGCACACCCAGAGTGCAAAGTGGAATCAATTACTCAAAGTCCGTATTTGTGATGTATTAATTCATCCACACACAGAGATTTATAAATTGACCTTTGAATACTGTCAACTCGGACACCTTACCTAATTATGAGTTTTTTCTGTATCTGACTTCTACTTAAGCTTTTACATACGGCAGTTAAATCAAGTTATTTCAGATACATCTACACACAAAAATCCATGCCTGGTTCTCAGAAGAGCAGTACTTTAATTATGCCAGTACTGATGGATGTTTCAAATTCCAAATTATTACCAAAAAAAGCTTGATATTTCTTGGAGCAAAATATATCAGGAATTGAAATGGAGAAAAAAATATATATAGCTAGGAGAGTCTTCAGCTTCAAGTAAAGAACTAAAACTCTGTTTGAATCCTTCTTTCTCCACACCCTAACAAATATAGTCTTCTTATCACAAATACACAAGGACCACAAGTGATGAATGAACCAATTTCTGTATTTCAGTACTGCATCAAAACCAAGCTTGCATGCCTAACTGAAGAGCAATGGTGAAGTTTCATAACCAGAAACAAAAACTAAGCGTGTCTCACTTTTGGTTGTAACTCACCCTAGAATCTCAGCATCACAAGAGCTAATAGCTTGTGGTAAGAAAAGAACTAGGTCTTATCTACAAGGAACCCAAAGAGACTTTAAGGTTTAGGCTCTTGCTTGCCATTCCACAGGTTAAACTTGATGGCTCACCTGTCTTATTCCTAAAACAAATCTCAGTGTAAAGTACATAGCTAAATACAATTATCTTTTTCATTATTATTATAACAATAGCAAAGTTAGCTTTAATTGGCTAAAAGTTTAAGATTAACATTTCCTGACAGCTATGATACAACTGCAATAACAAATAGTGCTATAAAATTTAAACCGGCATGAATAACATGACATACAAGATGCAGCTAAGAAGAAATAATCAAGATTTAACTTTTCAGTGGTCGCCTTTTAAAAATGCTGCCTGAGTGTGCATTAAGAAAAAAATTACTTTTGCAGTAATATGTAACCAAAAACTCAGCAATAAAAAGGCTTTTTGAGACTGAAGTAACAGACAACCCAGCCAGTACAAAGCGCACACAAATCTAAACTCTACTCCTGACTAATTTTGAAGAGGCAACAGTTGTAGCCATTCTGAATGATTCAATAGCACTGATTTGAGGCCTTAGAATCTTAAGAAGATAGAACAATGTTCTGCAACCAAAGATCTCCAGCTAAAAAGAAAAAGCCAAACACAGCAGTAAATTGGAACCAAACAAGTTCAGTTCTGTTAAGGGGGTATCCATCTAGTTTGTACTATGCTTAACTTCCCAACTAATTCAACATACAGTCCTAAACACTGCAGTAATCTAACAGTACACAAACTTGAGTCACTGCACAGTTTAAAAATTTTAAAATTTTAGGACTTAGCGAAATGCAATGATACAGCTGTTGTTTCTTCTACTTTTTGGCTTAAAAACCAACCCAAGTGAAACTATTTCACTAAATAAAGAAGTCTCTACAGCTAGCAACAGGTAAGTGCAATACTGGGAGTTAATTTTTACAAATATAAACAATTTTGATGTAACATCACATGCCTCATTGCCCTCAGATATACCTATATATAGCTTTCAAGGTCAAATACAATGTACACAATTTGTACCCCCATTAATACAGTTATGATATTTGCAGTTTGCAAGAGAAAGTAACAGCGAGGAAACATTTAAAGCAACTTTAAAAGCCAAGTGGGTTCTTCCAGTACTTGTTACATTTCTACAACCAACACCACATGGAGATCAGAAATGCCTGCACCCAGCCTGAAGCCGAAACAGCAGTTAAAGTAACAGAAACATGACTGTGTTATGAAATTCAAGGTATATCAATTAAGAACGTGGGGGAAGAAAGGCCACAATTGAAAGAATTACACTGACTTATATTTTACTACTCAACTACAAAGTCATAATTTATGCATATCACTTAATACTGACTGAAGTTACCTAACGATTTATTTTGGCTACTCTGTCTCCTTTATGAAAGCTGAGAAGAAAAAAACACTTCACTTTTCATGTAATTAGCTGTAGACAAAAAGGTCAAGTCAGTTATTCTGGCCACATGAATACAGCTAACACGGAAAGTCAAGAGAGCAAAAGGAAAAGCTACATACCAAAGTCCATTCTATCTTTTTGGTTTCTCTGAAGCAAACCCAGCAGCAGGTCAGCCAGATAAGCTGATGTTTCCCTAGGAATACTGCACACAAGAGGAAGTAAAACACGCATTAAATTTCATGCATGCATGAAATAATGCATAATGCATTAAATTTCAGGAAGTCAGCATTCTGCCACATCCCTAAGTCCTCACTATACATGCTCTATAGCCTTAGTCCAGGACACTTTCAACTCAGCAAGGTACAATGAAGGCAAGATGTAACATAAGTCACTGGTATCCACTGGCATCATACTACATCCTTGCAAAGATAGCAACATCACACAGTTTTATGAATCCCAGGCATTCCCAAAGATGAAAAAGTGTTCAATCAACAAATATAAGCAACAGGAAAGGCCATGGTGACATACCTAGGAATCAAATTCCTGTTCTTTTCATAAAACATTCTCAAATCTTGAGGACTATTGGCCTGTCAAATAAAATTATACATTAATTAAAACTCAGTTTCATGGAGAAAATAGCTTTTGTACCTATGAACACATACGCAAAAAGGAGGCTTTTGCATATGGGCATTAAAGGAGAAAACCCCAAGCACAGCAGTGACTTCAGTACTGAGTATCCTTATATATTTCCTTTGGATTTAACACACTGATCTCATAGACTAAGTACTCTCAGGGGATCTGGCCTTTGAAGCATCAACATTACACTCAAGTATCAGTACTTCTGTTTTCATGACTGGAAGGAAAAGCCCTAGGAATTTCCATGAGACTAAAAAGAGGGAAAAGGAAATAAACTGTTACCTGAAAAGGTGGTTTTCCAACAAGACACTGATAAATCACAGTTCCTATGCTCCACAGGTCTGCTTTAGCATCATAGTGTTGAGACATAATCACTTCAGGGGCCTGGAAAGAACAGCAAAATCTCAGAAGGGAAAATAAAAAAGCAAAGCCACAGCAACACAAATTCTACAGTTCTTCTGTCAGAGCAGTATTAACAGAGACCACTTCATTCTAAGACAAAAATAACATTTTAATCTGCATCACATGACTTAAAAGGTAACCGTTCTATCTAAAATGAAACAGTTCTAGATAAACTGAAAACAGTTCTATCTAAAATTCTACGTAGAATGAAAGCTACATTTCAAAAGCACAGAAAACTAGAAATGTTGATGTTCTAAAGAAAGCATCTAGTGATCGGCATGTATGGAAATAAAAGGTAAGCATTATTTAATTGGTTTATGCAGTCCTCCTTGTGGATAAATAGCAAAGAATTTCGTAAGGAACATCACTATTACCATTTTACATATAGAAAAACAAGACAAGGGAAAGGAAAATGATCTTCCCATGACCATACAGTACTATAGTGGTAGTACCGATGTCAGACAGTGCAGTCTTCAATTGACTACTGCACTACTTAGTAAAAATTAATGGCAATTAACTCCAAATAGCTTTTAAAAAAACCCAAACAGACCAAACCCTACATGTGAGAGAACACATTAAATAACTAGAATGAAAACACTAAATAGTTTTTTTAACTACTACTGTAAAGCTCTTCTAGACTGTATTTAATCTCTTCTTATTTTCTTAAGAAACTGGGAAGGAGATAATGCCCTCTTTCAGGAGGAAAAAAAAACACCAAACAAACTATGTAAGTGGGAATGAAAGTACTTTGCCAAAAAATTAATGCTAAGATACATTGCCTTTAAATTATCTAAGATTTTTTTCCTCCCCGTAGCACTAAGAAATGTTCAATGTCTCTCTGATTTTAAAAATCATGCTCTCCAAATCACAAGAAAAAAAGGAGCTAGTAAAACTACGGGAAGGTGAACTGCACGCTCCCCCTGATACATTAGGCATCTGCTAATCTGCAAGCAGTAAATTATTCTGTTCTGGTAGAAGAACATTTGAGATAAGCAACATAAACTGAAATACACTGTTGCTTACCATATACATAGGGGAACCACACAGAGTTGCAGCCATCATGTTGCTATGCAGGTAACGAGCAAAACCAAAGTCAGCTATGTAAAGAAACACATTTGTCAATGAAAAGGACATTTAACATTTTTCAAATTTTTAAAGTCTAGAAATGGTCTCTTATTGAAATCTGCTACAATTACCAGTTAGGGAGAAAAAGATAGGTGTAATATATAGCCAGCTATATGCAATAGTAAAATCTATGTTACACTGAAAGAATAATGCATTATCTTCCAAATAGCAAGCCAAGAAACAGCAGTGGCATCATTTGCATAAACTGCTGCTCAGCCATCTCCCCAGCTGCAGAACATGCTGTCTGGCGTCAGCAGGAAAGGATTAAAGTCAGTGGCTAAATATAAATGGTTCATTAAGAGTGATGAATATACAAACTGCTTCAGTGAAATCACATCAGGTAGAAGTTTAAGAAGTCAAGTTTCAGATGCCTGAATTTTCCACATAGGCAAAAGCATCTGAAACTATCAAGTAAGGACAGCAAGAGAAGAAGTTCTGTCTCTTCTGTGCTGTTTAGAAGATTAAGTGAGTTGGAACAGATCTCACATTTTGGCTGAGCAAAAGCATAGAAAAGAAACTTGTTAAAAAAAGAAGTATTTTTAAATGGACACTTAACAGACAGAAATGTATACTCCTGAAGTGTCCTCTGCAGAAGAGTTTGGTAGTATCCTGAAGAGTTGACATCTCTTCCCAGTTACAATGCCAAACCTCCTTCTGCCAAAAATAGGTCATAACCTACATTTCTAAACTTCTCAAATAACCCTTAGGAGGGTCTACCACAAAAAAAAACCCAGCTGGAACTGTGACTGGAGTCTCACATACACACAGTTTTGAAATGGGCTAAAGGCTACTTGAAGTTTCAAAGGTTACAGGTTTATGTCTAATTAAAATAGTTTAATACTAGAAACATCAGCTAAATAGGTTTCTTTTTCCTGCAGATTTAATCAAAAAGGTCTTTATGACTCAAGCATTTTTATGCTGAGAATCTGCATTACAGCATAAAGCTCATGTTCTGGACTTACTATCTGATTCAAATCAATTTAATACTCATATACCATACCCAGCACGTCCTCTGCACATTAATTACAAAGACACTTCTGAGTAGGGAAACAATCCAACAGTGATGATTTACCTTTAGATCAGAGAAAAGCATATTTACCTATTTTGATACGTATGCCACTGACACTTGACTTCCTACGACTGGCGTAAGACAACAAAATATTCTGTGGTTTAAGATCCCTATGAATGATTCCTTTACTGTGCAGAATACGCATAGCTGCTGCAATCTGCTGGAGGAACACTCGGATGGTATCTTCACTAAGAGTTCCTTTAGCTGAAAATAACATACACATTAGCAGATGAGAAAATAAATATCATTATCTTTGGGCAAAAAGTAATAAACTTCAGTGATCAATTGTGAAACCAATGAGGACAATCAAATCATAGTGAATTCCACTCAGAACAATCCAATCTCCAGTATTTTTCTACAAATGTATATACTCTCAATAACATATCCACCTCCATAGTTTTACACTAGCTACAGTACTCTGAATTATTTGTTTTTACAGTAGTTTATTCAACTCGGTAGCATAGTAATTGTAAAGCTTCTCAATCATCATTAAATCCTAAACTTGCTAAAAAGGCAAAGGAGCCAAGAAAATAGAACAACTCCATAGTTTAGAACATCAAATGTATTCTACAATCATGTTACAACTTGAAGCTGTAACACCTATTCTTTAAATAAATTATCATGGGGATGCAGATAGCCACTCTGCTCAGAAAATTTCATCCATGATAAAACTTGTTTTGAAGGGAAAAATTAAGACATACTTTCGAAATTCTCTTTAAAAGGTATTATCTCATTCTGTTGCCTGAAAAAGTACTGAATGAAGGACCTGAATTATATGGTATGAGTCTTTCCAAAGATTTTAATGGGAAGTGAATTAGGCTTTTAATATGCACAGTTACCATAACAATTGCTGTTCACAAAAAAATTCCTTCAACATACCACAGATACAAAGGCAAGTAGACTATTTTTATCAAGAAAAATATTAACATCTCTGCTCAAAATTTTGTTTTTACTAAGAACCCATTTGTCATGATTCTGTAACTTCTGTCTTCACTTTGGGCAGAGCCACATTGAAGGGCAAAATCTCTCCTAAGCCAGAACTGCCTCTTTGTAGAAAACATTGTTATATAAGTAATTCAGTATTTTTAAAGTTCACATTCTTGGAAAAGAAAGCAGGTGGAATCAAAACACTGGGAGTAGTCCCCAAAATATGATTTTAAAAGTAGAAAAAACACCACATTTTTCAGCTACTTACAGTTACCTAAATCATCTGTCAGTTACAAATAAGGGAATGTTACATTCAACTGTTTTGAAAGCAGTGGCAAAAAGTATTTTCTGCCCATGCATTATTTTATTCACCTTCATTGCTAGTTTGTGGGGTTTATTTTTAATTATGAGTGACATTTAAAAACACCAGGAAATATTTTAAAACAAACGCAAAACCTTATGTCTTCCTGCAGCTTCAAAATTTAGTTTTCAGGTTCCCAGGGTGGCATACAGACACACAGCACTCTGCTGCTGACCTTGGCTGGGGACAGAATACAACACTAAATGGATCCTTGGTGAATTCAATTACTCTTATAAAGAGGCTACTCTGAAATCACACCAGGGTGAACAAGCACTGTGGAATTACAGACATTTCATAAACAGGAAAATATTTAAGCCACAAACAAAAAATCTCAGAGAAACACCAATGCATTACAGGAATACAGAATATAAACATGTAGTGCAATGCAATAGCTTCTTAGTAGGGAAATACAGTAATTAATTACCTTGTAAGTAATCTGCCAAATCCCCACCATTGCAATACTGTTAAAAAGAAAAGTTTTTATTAAAAACACAAGCACTGAAATACTTGTTATATAATTTTTACTTTGCAATCTTTTCACTAAAATTAGAAGATCCTTTACAGCTGTTTACCTCAATTGACAATTATTTGTAATTATTAATTTGAGGTGCAATGCCTCACCAATACTTAAGAGTATCATAAAATGAAACTGAATAATTTATGGAACAAATACTGCTGATAAATTTAGTGTGCATACAAAATTAATAATCTAGTTTTCAGAATTACTTGATTACTTGTTTTAACAAGTCATGGTTACTTTGCAGCTGTGCAGAGAAGGAATTTTGGCTAAAAATCATCTTTAAAATCAGCCAGAAATAAACATACATGTTAATACATACCTCCATTACCAAAAAGACAGAATTGGGCATTTCCTAAAAGAGAACAAATCCCATTTAAGAATGTGACAAGACAAAGCTTTCAGCACCTGCATTAACCTCCTGTAACATGAGATTTCCAGTCAACTGAGAGACCTTATGTTAAAGTCATGTACACTCCCCATCATTAAATATTTCACATTTTCAAAAGCATTAGTAAATATTAAAAAAAAAAAAATCACCAGGCAAAATCCTGAAGACTGAAACTATCATTTGAAAGAGCATCAGTTTCCACTGTACGTCGCTTCCTTAGCTTTCAACCGCCTCGGACTGCTCTAGCAACACAACCTCTATATTAAAAGCTGCTACAGATAAATATATCATTGCTATCACAAATCACTGAAATCAGTCACTAAAGGGACAGTCATTAGTTGCAAATATACTGGACAGAATTCAAAACCATGAGCGAGAAAATTTGGCTGTGAAAACCAGTTTTCTAGAGGAGGAATTCTAAAGTTATGTTCCCTGCTTCTGCGTAAAGCAAGCTTTGGTTCTGTCATCTGAAAAGCCAAAGGTCAGTCAGAAATCACAGAGCAGTTAACTGTCTGGAATAAACTGATTCCCAAACACTATTTTGTGGGATAATTAATTCAGGAATCATGCATACATCTGTAAAAAATCAGCAAGTCACTGGCAGGAGCATGTCCCTGCCACAGACCTAAATGCCCTATGGCAAAGGTGTGATTTGGTATGGCAGTCCTACTGAGATTTTCCAGAGCACTGACCTACTTTGACCTATTTGCAACCTGAATTCCCTCTCCTGTAACTGGGCAAGAGTTACTGAAAGACAGATCAGCTAACTTCTACTGTAAATTATCTACACACTCCACAAAATGCAGTAAAAATGTCTGTCCTTAAATCCAACTGTAACAAGAACACTATTTTTATAAATATTTATTTTGTGTGAGGGAAGAAAAAGCCTACCTGTCTATGTCAACAATCAACATTGTTTCCCACAGAGTCTCCTGCATAAAATAGTTTTGTCATGCCTACAAAGTTGAAGACACTCAGCAATCCTTTAAAGCAAGAGCATTTTTTCCCCTCTGAGCTGATTAAGTAAGACCGAAAGAACACAAAGAGAACTAGAAGGAACATAAGGCAAGTATACTGCAAACAGAATGATGTTTTTACTTACATAGTATGTTACCTCCCTTTCACTTTAAAAATAAACTCAAAGAAAGGTTGACAGTTTGTGCGAAAATATGTTTTTAAGACACTTGAAGGAAAAGAGCAAGATGGCATACCAGACAAGGGCAGGCATATGCCCCAGTCAGAAGTGGAACTGTTGACAGTCTGACTGTATTCTGTTAACTAGTGTTAAAAAAAAAAAAAGTCAAAAGGGACATTGTATGGCAAAACAAAAGCTGTGAACTTAGGCACCTTTCTCAGTGCTTGTATTAAAACTTCAGCATATGTTCAATTTGACCACACTGGCAAGAACTATCACAAAAGTGCCATTTTCAGGGGCTTGTTAACAAGTCAGTCTAGGAAGCTTTAAAAAGAAAAAGAAAGTACAAATGGGCCCATGGACCCAGGCCAGAGAAACCAACTACCCTAAATATCACACACAACATAGAGCACATGGATGGCACAACCAATTAAAGCCAATTTCTACCAATCCATCAAAGATACAGATATCCACTACAGATAACTGTAATAAGTACAGTTCCAAGACGAACCAGATGTTTTAAGGTTAATTCAAGACTGTATTAGGCTGCTTCACTTTCTGGAAGCATTTAGTTTAGCCACTCTCATCTGTGTTACAGAAATGCATGTGAGGTTCTTTCCAGCTCAGAACATCAAACACATTACAGATTTGCTTACATTTGGAAATTGGCTTCAAAGAAAGCAAGTTTCTAGGAACATCAGTCAAATCTGTTGGGAATGAAAGGCAAACTCCAACCAATATAGAATATTAAAGCGGCACTAGATCACATTTCAGGAAGTCCCAGTTGTTCACTGTTTCTGTAACAGCTGTGGCCAACATGAACCATAATTTGCAATCATATAAACGCCTCAGAACCTAAGTGCATGCAGTAAAGCAAAAAAAGATAAGTAATTACTTGCTCTGTAAATTACTGAAAATACATAATGATAAATGTTGTTTCTTTCTACATCATTCCTTTGCAACAACATTTTCCAAGACAGAAACTCACTTTCTTTCAGGAACCCCAAAGGTGCCAAACAGCAACTCCGAGATCCCAATTTATCCAACGGAAAATTCTGCCAACTGATGATCACTTCACTTAAAGGATGACTGTGATGTGTAAAAGAATAAGACAGCTAAGAAGCGTGGAAACTGTCTGTTCTCCGGTGACAAGAAAGAAGCTCAGCTAGTGGATTTCCACCCGAACATAGCAATCCCATGAATCAGAAATAGATGTTCCACAGCATCAGTGCCTCCACTACACAACACGCTCTGTACAAAACCAGCAGCTTATGGCAGTATGTAATGCTCGGCTCATGACAGACATTTTTTCATCACAGAACTAAGAGAATGTGTTTTCTGGATTCCCTTGGAAACAAAGTCCTTTCAAATGAAACTGTTCTCTTCAGAAACAAGGAGCTGATGATTTGTCCTGTTGTACTAGCCCTCACCTGTTTAAAAGAAAGTCATTCCTACAGACTACACTAGATTTCCCTGAAATAGCATTACTAATTTTTTGACCGATATTCTTCATTAGAAATAATCAAACAAAGTCAGTGAGTTGAAGTCATAGTAAGAAGTAGAGTCTGTTTCCTTATTGTACTTTGGATAAACCTTTTTTATTAAACCAGCAGAGCAAATTAGAGGTTTCACAAAGAGATTTTCCCAGACTGGTCAAAAGTTCTATCTAATGCGTGCTGCAGAAGTAATATTTTGCACAGTACTGGTACCAAGCTCCCCAGCCGCATCTCGTGCCAACTTTAACTCATAACCAAACATTTTTCAATATCCCACCAAATGCAAGCTTTAGTTTGAAACAGCTGAAGTTGTTCATCCCTTCATAGTTGCTCAAATTTTGCATTACAGTTCCTGGCCAGCCTGGCTGGAAACGTGATCTCCATTTTGGGAGTACGTTCAGAAAACACAAGTCAGTTCTATAGATGCATTTCTCCCTTCTAAATTATTTTGCTGAAAAATAAAGCTATCCCTATCATCATTCCCTAGACTTGTGATTTCTGTTGACTTACTAAGCAGAGCAAAGTACTCAAAAATTAAAAGATTAGTAAACGAGCATGTTTCAGATCTAACATCCAGGAATAAAGCTGACCTAGCAAGCTATTTTAAACTGCTTCTTGAAACAGATAACAAAGCTTTCATAAATTTACATTGATGTACAGAGCATAAAATTACTGCAGCTGGAGTTGTTCTGGCTTACACTTCTACCTAGAAAAATAATCAAGCAAAACAAGTGTATGTTGTGTTGCAACAATTACAGAACAGTTTTGCCCAGCATGTCTTGCTTTGTTGCTTAAAGTTTTCTTGACAAAAACCTGCTTTTGCTCCTTCTTATTCCGAATCTAGGTTTTACTTGAAAGTTGAAGTAAAAGATAGAAAAGGTTAATAGAAAACCATTTTACAATTCTGAAAGCTAACAGATAAACCTAATAAAAAGAGATTAAGGGGCAACGTATTTGCCAAAACTTGCTGTGTTTTAATCCCAGACTTTTAACAGTTGTCTCAAGGGATGTGAAGTTCCAACCCAAATCACAGGCTCAGCGCAGTAGTTCCATTTAAAAGACATTAATTGAAAAAGAAGTCGAAACATCCACGGTTACTTCTGACAGCTGTTGCTAGAACTCTAGTGTATTGGCAGAAACATACCCTAGATTCCTTTTTGGTTAGGAAGTCCTCCTTTAGAACAAGCTGGAAGTCTGCAAGGAGCTCTTAAGTGAGCTGCCAAAACAGAAACTGTGGCAAAAAAATAGTTACTATGTTTTTGCTCCAAGTCTGTAGATTCTGTTTAGGTGCAGTTTATGATCAGAGTCCCAAGACCATGAGAGTTAACCTGCCAGCCTGTGCACTGCTATTATATGATTCATTTTCTGATATGTTAATTTGTGCTATATTTGCTTTAATTTCTTTGGCCAGGAATACACTCTTCTTTTTTTTTCAGCATTAAATATATTTGGCAAAAGTTCTAATGATTTAGTGAAAAAGGACTGGTCCAGATCTTTTTAAGGCTGTCTCTCAGTCTATTACAGATAATCTTGTTTTGCTTTGCAAGTGCACCACAGCAGCAGCTTCTAACATGTTCAGCTCTTACCATCTAAAGCACTGAACATTTTGTTAGTTCTGACTAAATGTTAAGTCTCAGACTAAATGTCACTTGACACGTGCCTGTAGGATTCAAATAGCGTGCATGCTGTCAATTATTCACATAAAAGAGCAATCAGCCATAGAGAAATGTACCACAACAGCTGTATCACTGATTGTGTTATGTGAAATGCTGTACTTAACTAATATATATGGGAGGTAGTGAAAGAGACTGGTCTGCTGCACAACACAAAGGCAAGGCAAAACTGTTCACAGCACACCAAACATTTAACCTGCTCCCATACTAGATGATCTTCTTAAACAGTTTTGAAATACAAATTATAGCATCTAGGCACAGCAGGTAAGCTAAGGACTGCGTAATAACTCCAACTCTTTGGTTCTGTGGGCCAAAACAAATTCTAACTGGTTGTCCCTAACCTTCAACGCCTACGCTGGCGTCATTCCTTACAGTCCAATATTGTCGTAACCAACCTTCCAGTTAGCATCAGCTGCCAGGTAGTATTTCAAAACCTTTACAATTTCTACAGAGCAGGATTTTTCTTTTTATCTTAAAACTTGTCTGAACAACATGTTTTCATATGACTATTTCCACTCACAGTGAGGATGGATACTGACAAACACAAAGGCCTTAATCAAGGAGCTGAGGGAAAAAATAAAAATATTGAGACATCCTCATTCAAAATATGACAGTTCATAAACAGCTATGAGTATGGAAGCAAAGCTGTGAGACACCAAGATCAAGAGCACACACCAGAATGCTTGAAGCAAATGCCTCAAGAAACATATGCAACTCTACCAGACCAACTGGAGTCCTTTGGTAAACCAAACAGCAATATTTAATTCCCACTGGTAAAACAACAGGTATAGATAAATCTGCTTCCTTCCATAAGCATCCCTAGTAGTAACTCACAGGTACTTGAGTATAAGTAAAAGCTGGGGTGTAGGCACCAGAAGGACCACCGGCTTTGTTCCCACTAGCTTTCACTGCTTTCAAGGACAGCAGAAGCAGCTGCAGTTATTTTGTCTGCTATGTACCAACAAGTTAAGACAAGGAACAATTTCTGCTCAGATACTGTTTCTCCAATAACACTCTAGAAATTAGTTCTTCTTAAACTACTGTTCAAATAGCAAGCTTCAGACTCCATACAGTGAAGACATTAATTCGTTCTTCTAAAACGCTATCTCCAAGATACATTACAGGCTTTCATTCTGACGGCTGACATTCTAAAGAGGTTTTGAATTAAATTATTTGCTAAAACAGGCACTGTCTGGCACTGTGTAAAAGATAAGTTTTACTCAGCACACACTTGGGATCATGAACTGCACAAAACTGTAAATTCATGTCCTAAATATAGCACATTCCAAATAACTTACTGATACCTTCATACTTCAGTAGAATACTTTATCCAAAGACCTCAATGTACTTCATGCTGATGGGTTAGAGGTTATATTAGACTCCTTTTGCTTTTGAGAAACAGTGGGCTCCATTTCCCCAATTAATGGGATCCAAGATTGATCTTTTGCAGGATGAATGACATCCCATGGCACCACCATGGGAAAAGAGCTGCATTCTTACATGATTTTAGAGATTCAGGAGTTCCTTATTCTAGAATGAGAGACTACCAAAGTCTCGCCCAAGAAGATAAGTAAAAAATGTCTCAACAGGTTACATCTTGCTATCCACCTATTTTATTCTCTGTTTTGTTAAGCATTTCACTTACTGAAAAAATTAATTTCACATTCAGAGGTGTGCTGCATATGTTTATTTTTCAGAGCCCCACTACTGCAAAACATTTGCCTCTCACAGATGGAGAGTTCATATTTAAGTATCTCCACAAGTGACTTCAGTCTTAGAATCACATGTCTCCACACCCTGGTGTGTGGAGATCCCCAGCCTTCTGAGATGGCACAAACAACAACGGTACGCTCTGCTTACATAAAATGCTTAACTGCAGATCAAACCTGCCAGTGTTGCATGTAACCACCTTACGGAAATCAAGGGCAATTATCATGCTGGCACAAGAACAAAAGATTTTTATGATGACCAATGCACACAGAACATTAACGGCACACCAATTCATTCGGGTGTGTTTCCAGATGAATGGGCATTTCTAGTAATTTAACTCAGTGGACCCTATACACAGGAGCTGAAGCAACAGCAATGTAGAAGGTTTTAAAATGTTCATACACAATCAGCAGAATGGCTCACAAGTTCTCCTTGGATCTAATTAAAACCGTAATGGTGTATGTATCTTTATTACACTGACTTGTGCGACTGGTCACAGATCATGCAACAGGAACACAACCATAAATGAACAGAGATGAAAGAGAAGGAATGTACCTCCCTCCGGTGAAAACAATTCCAAATGAAGCCTTTTGCAATATGTAAAATAATAACTACCCCTTCATTTTCAAACTTAAAAGATGTATTCCAAATTGCTATGCAGGGAGACAGCTTTAATCTCAAAGTACTGCCATTAGGTACAAATAATTTCAGTTAATATTATGAGATGTAAAAATATTTATTCTTCATTGCAATTAATTTACACTTTTTTCCACTTAGTTTTGCCACTTTCATTGCACACCATCTTTTCTATCTGAAAATCTGATACAACAATCAGTTCTTGGACTATTCAGCTAAATGGTGTACCGAACAGTGCATCTGAAACATGAGCATTTTCTTATTTCAAACTGTCTAAGGTTAAGAAAAACTTCAGACAAACAGAACTATAAAAATAAAACAGACTCCCAGTCAAACTGAGAATTTCCTACTGTGACACAGACTCCACTGGCTCCAGCATTGAGGGGAAAAAAAAAGCTTCTGTAACTTAAAAATTGCTTGAAATCCTAAAATCTTATCTGCTCTACTATATCACTATGTTCACAATACTATGGCAAAAAAAAAAAAAGGGCAGTACATGCTAGAACACGAAACACTAAAGAAAATTAGTAGGTCTAACAGCCTACTAGACATGTGAATGCCTTGCATAGCGTTCGTTCTTGCTGGGTTATAAATTAATGTAATCATACAAGTTAATGATGTATAATATTTCACAAACAGCTCTGTGCAGAAAGGGAAAAGCTTATTTGTGCAAGTGTCACATTCTTTAGACCATATTTTGCAGAGCAGTTTCAATTCTATAGAAGTAGCATCATACTGCCAAGCTTTATGTTTGCCATGAACGTATTTGAAATATATCCAAGGTACAAGACACAGGTTTTCTTTTCTCTTTGCTTTAACTGTTCGTATCATTTAAAGGCAGTAGTCAGTGACAAGCAGGAATACGCCCTTCTCAAATGGAGAATACAGGACTGATCATTCGAGAAGTCCTGTCACTGTAAGGGCACCCTTTCCTGTGGCAGAACAGAAAAGCATGAAAGTCATGTTTTTAAATAACCTTTAGGTAAAGTAAGCATAGACAAGTGTATGGCTCTGTCTTCCCTTCCCTTGTGGGCATTCTGTGCATAAATCAAAAGAGGCAACAGCCTCTCCAAGACTTAGAAGATACACAATGTTAAATCATCAAAATACATATCTAGTCAACTACCCGCAGCTTGAGCTGCAAAGCTTAGTAAGTAATTTTCACATATAAACAACTGTAAATGATAAATCTGAAATTCACCTGCTTACTCACACATTAACACCCTCAGTCAACAATTCCAGCTTCTTTTAAGATGTCTGGATATACTAAATTTAGGATGCTGAGAGATTATTTCCACTTAGCAATACTCAGGAAAGCCTGGGCTCTTCAAGAAGCACAAGAGACTATAACACAGAATACACTGAAGAACGTCAAAATGTCTATTTTGTGTTGTTTTAACTATGCAATGCCCCAAAGGTGATTCTTAATAATTTTTTCATAAATGTAACTCTGTATTTAAGATTAGAATTGAGCCCAAGAGATAAATGCATGGTTCTTATTCAAGCAGAACAAATGGCTGCATAATCTACACCATATTCAGCTTTACTCAACACTTGCAGGCCTTAGGATACAAAAAAATGTACTTCCTACTAAGTTGAATACACTACTGTAGACAAGCTAGAAAACTAATTCCTTCACCTTATCAGGCAGAATCCCAGGAATAAAAAGACGACGACAATTTGAAGCAATTTAATACTTATTTCTCCTACTTGAAAAGATCCAAATGTCTGCTTGGCTCTTACACTTTATCCTTTTGAACACAGGCAACAGTAAGATACACATGTGTGATCATGGTTGTCTACTTCCTTCAGTTCTTCCTCACGGTGACACAGGGCGATACAATACATTTCTTTGTTACAGAGATCTCAAAGATGCTGCTCCTTTTCTACAACAGAGCATTTTAAGTTATGCTGACTTCTTAATGTCACTCGCTTCATCCATTCAGATCAACTCCTACTAGTACATTTTCCTTCAGGTGTACTCAGTTGTTATCCACAAACACCTACTTTCCAATTAGCTTACAGGGCCAAGGAAACAAGGCTAATTCAGGAGAACAGTTCACTGCCACCAACAGAACTCCTAGCCCAGCCAGCTGATGCTTTTCCCCTGGAGATAGGACCAAACTACACAAACAGCCTCTGCAGAGAGTTTCTCAGGCTGCCATTTGCCCCTGCTACTTCCCTATGGAAGTAAACCATATTCCTCACGGCTTTCTTATCCCAACTGTGCATCCTGCTTATTAGAAAGAGCCAATACAAAATAAGTACATAGTGTGTTGAAGATGAGAACTCCCCCTGCCACTCCTAGGGAACTGGATTTCTTTTTCTAAATACCAAACTAATTATAGCAACAAAATATATGGCCATTCAGAATTTTCTACTCAGTATCTACATATAAAAATTATATTTTCATAAATAATTTTTATACATGCATTATATTTTCATAAATAAATTTTAATGAAGAAAAAGGCATCCAAATATATTTTACCTGGACATCATAGAGAGCTACAATGTTCTCATGCTGAAGTTCCTGTAAAACAAAATATTTGTAAATAGCCTGTTATTATCATTACTTTAAATTTAATAAATTTAGGTGATAATCAAAGAGAACCAAATTTTACAAAGAAAGGTAGCATCTTTTTTAGACCATCTGATGGAACTTGGAGGAAATCCCAGCTATTTAGACAATATTTACAGGAATAGGAAATTAGGCAATATCTTCAGAGGTCATAAAAACATTTCGTTCCAGAAGTAATTTTCTATGTCTTACAGAAAGTTACAGAAAGTACTACAGCACAAGACCCTTTAATGAGTATTGAAAACTAAGTTTAATTTTACAGTCCCACACAATTTCTTGCTTAGCAGAGTAACTAACTACACTACGTTTAAGTCAACCTTACTATTTTACAATAAAAAGGAAATCAAACCAAATAACACCAAATAAAACTCACAGGACAGCTAATACAATTATTTGTAACTGCTCAAAAAAAATCTGTCTTTGCTAAGTACTTGCAGCACAATAATATACCCAACACTACACTTTCTGGTATATAATAAATATGCTAGAATATCGTATGCATATAATTAGTATCTAAAATAGTGATGTATCTCAAGAAGCTTGGAAACATGGAAAGAAAGCAGCACCAATTATTACTGCAAAGCTACGTAAAATTAGATGTGGTGAAGTTCAGAGAGCAGAGAATACTAAGAGACCATCCAAGGACACGTTTCCATAAAAATAGCATTGAAAAACTAAATGATGCTCTGTTTTATTTCCTTCATTAGAGCCACACTTTTTAAGTCAATTAACACAACTCAGAAGTGGGAAGACTGCTTTAGGAATCAAATTCAGCATGCCGATTTTAGCTTTCAAGACACCTTTGAGCGAAGAAGATTAATAAAGATCAAAGATTAATGCTTTACCCTCAGCTATGACTTTTGTTGCATGCACTGCTTGGGAAAGGTGCCACATTAGCCATCCTGAAGGACAAAGTTTTCTACATGTGCAATAAGCAAAGTGCAAAGAGTTGTCCTACAACAGTGTTCCACTTTTAACTACAAAAGCATGCCCATAACCTGTTCAGAGACCATTTACAGAACTAAAAAAGTATCTTTTTTCTTTTTTTTCCCCTTGGTCTTTTCAGTTCTGGATTTCTCCTGGAACTAACAAAGAAACAAAAGGCAGAATAGCAATTACTGTGATGCTACCCATGACCCGGAATGAACTAGGTCAAAAGTCTCTTTTCCTTTTCAAGTAAAGCAGCTTTAAAAATCACTGCAAATTAACATACCTTTAAGATTTTTATTTCTTTTCCAAGTAGGATTTGTGACTTTGACAAGTTCTTTTTGTTAATACTCTTTATGGCTACTTCCCAATCAGTTTTCTGGAAACAAACAAACAAACAAGAAGTATTGTCAGTTTTGTATCTTTTCCCACTAACAACTAGCTAGTAAAGCACTGGAGAAAAAGTTGCAAGATCACCCCTACTCTACCCACCAGTAATTACTACATCACATGACACCATCAAGAACTATTTCATTCCACAATAGCTCAGACAGCTATTAAAATCCAGCTGCAGCTACACTGCATTTTCATGGATTCAAAAGCATTTTAAAAAAAAGTAGTAAATAATCATATCCCATTTATTTCTTGGTAGTGGTGTTACATATCTGCTTTTTAGTCCTCTCTCAATGATGAGGTTACTTTTACCCTCCTTTAAGGACTTCCCATTTTCAGCCTTCTTATGCTCTACAACTGAAAACTGCACAAGAAAACATCTGGTTTTTTTAAGAAAACTTATACATTGTCCATTTATATATCACCCAAAAATAAGTTGTCTGTTTCTTTGTAAGGTGGAAGCATCTCCACTGCCCTTTATAATTTCTGTTTTCCTTCCTCCCTTTTTTTTTTAACCCCAAAATCACTGCACTGTGTCTCTCCAAGTTGCAAGCACTACCCTAATGCTCCAGAAGGATAAATCTGACGAGTTGTTTTCTGGAAAGCAGAACACTTCAGGCACCAATACCAGAATAAACTCTCACAGCAAGAAACCGTAACTATTAATATACCGGCTGACTAGCAAGCCAAGCCAGGAAACCAGACACCGACGAATTTAAGAAATCTTCAACCCATCCCAAAGGAGACAATTTTCCATTAGATCCCCCGTTATGCAGCGAGATAAACATGACCCTCCTGACAAACAAAGGGCTCAGCCTCCCCTGCAGCTGCAACTCT